AGGTAGGAACGACCCGAACTTGTGGCTGGTTCTTGAGCTGAAGTAGCCGTTCGCTTGCCGACTCCTAAACCCCATTTCTTTCACTTAAAACTGTAGCGTTTGTGTCTGAAACAGACAAGAGTCACCTTCTGCCTTTGAGGCGCCGCCAGCCCTGTCGGGGAGTTCAGTCCGGGCGCTGGGGGTCCCCTGTCCTAGTTTGGAGCAGCGCACCCCCAAGTGAACCCTCAGAATCCCCCGCCTGGGCTTCCTGGAGCCGCTAGGAAAGCGCCAGGAGGCTCACGGATTATCTGAACATCCACCCTCCGGCCCCCTCGCACCGCCCGCCCCCCCAGGCCTGTGCCCAGACGGCACCTCCAGCTCCAGTTCTGTGCTGAGACGCTGTCCCGTCTGTTCAGTCGTCCTCGATCCGCTTCGTGGCACTGACACTGACCTGACGCGGGAACCGCACGGAGGTCGTGTCCTGTCAGGAGGGACAGCTGATGCCTCCCGGTGTGCCCGCCTGGCGGCACAGCGGCCCCCACTTCCTGCAGGAGGGGGAGCCGGGCCGTGGGGCACCCCGAGGCCTCGGGCCGGTGGGAGCACGTGTGGGCGGGTGTGGTGCCTCCAGTTTGGGAATTCACTCGACGCCTTCTGTCTGCTCGGCCACGGCCCAGCTCGGTCCGGTCCAGTCCGGGCGGGTGCAGAGGCCCCTCCTTCCCCGTCTCTGGGACCTGGGGTCAGTCAAACACACCTAGCTCCTCTCTCGTTTGCCTGGGCAGCGTCTTCTTTCTTTAATTATTATTAATAGGTTTTTGTTGGTTTGGGAGAGGAAGAGAGAGATGGAAACATCAGGGTGGGAGAGAATCGTTGACCGGCCGCCTCCTGCGCTCCAGGCAGCGCCTTCTCGGGAAAGGACTGGGGACGCGGGGGGGCCAAGTGCAGGCCCGTCCCCACCGGCACCGAGAACAAGGCTCCGCTTCATGGCTGGTGTTTGCTTAGCGCTCGGGACGGGCCCCGTGCCGCTCTCGGCCGCTCTCCGGCTTCCTCATTTCACCCCGGCTCAGCCCACGTCCCAGGCGAGGAAGCTGAGTCCCGGGGAGGCCAGGTGCCCCCCCAGGCAGACAGCGTGGAGAGGGTGGGGGTGGCCTCGCTCCCGGTGCTGGGATGGCAGACGTGTGCTTGCTGGGGACGCCCGTCCGCGGAAGGAATGACGGAACGGCGCCTCCAGGTGTGCCGCTGATCATGGCCTTTGAGAAAGGGCTCACGTCTGTCCCCCGGGGACACTGACCATGTGCGGAGGTTTCCGCTGACTGTCCGATGCCCGCGGCCGGGCCCCAGGCAGCCTGCTTCCTCGTCAGCCCGGCTCCGGTCACATTACGCAACGTCCCCTCTGCTCCTTCCCACGGAGCGGATCGCACGGCGTCAGGGCCGAGAGGGGCACGCAGCTCGCGGCTCCGGAATGCGGGC